CTTTAGTTAGTAACCGCAATTAAGTAAATACCAAATAAAGCTAATTGCGTTCACTCTCATTTGCTTGCTTTTTTTCAGTCTGGGCGTTGGTTATTGTGCATAACTCTCACTGAAACATAGATATTGAATTAAATTACCATGCCAAAGGTGGTCCAACATGATGCTGAATTGGGGATTCTGTTTTTCTGGTGCATCTCTTCTCTGACTCTGTGTCACAGCCTCATGTATCGAAACCCAAATAGTAGGAGAGCACTGTTGCTACTTTTGATTTCTGTCTTTGAGAGCAGTAGGCTATGTTTTACTGTCACTTACGGAAATGTAATTTAATTTCCTAATTTTTACTGGTAAGTGAATATTTCATGGTTATGAGAAAAAACGGTTTAAGGGTTTCCAATATTTGAGATGACAGTGACTGTGGTTTGGATAATGGATGTAAGCAGCAGTCTCAAGAGCCATTCTCAGAGATACGAATGAAGACAGAGGCAATTAGCCGTTTTGAGCTTCCTGCCATAATTAAAGTCATAAAATGTGCTACTTTGCACATATGCATGCTCAATTACACGAGCACGTACACAATGTACACCAATGAGACGCTGCAAAAAAACTTTATATGAATTCCTAGGATTAGGAACAGCACAGATCCAATGGTTTTTAGTTCTGATTTAGGCCATCCAGCCCTATGATGCATAACTGTGATAAATGAATACAATTCCTAAGGCTTGGTTGAAAAGTGTATATTGTTTTAGCTAAGGTCAGGAACAGCTAATATAACACAATCTCAGTATGTGACTGTTTTTTTTTATTTCAATACACTTGGCCAACTGCTGTAGTGGAAAGGCCTGTGTATCTACTAGAAAAGCTGTTGTTCACTTTTGCAGATCTAACAAATATCGTATTGTTCCCAAACAGTCGGTAGCGTGAGGTGACCGAACTGTATGCGCACAAACTATGGAAAAAGTGAAAGAGGGCGGTCTTAACTGACAGAACAAGCTCTCTTCATCCCACAGTGCAATGTGCTTGGGGTGAGAGGGGGGCTGAGAAAGTTCCCTTGGCTTTACTGGGTAATCCCTTGATAAATAAACTGGGAAGACAAGACCACCGCTGCTATCTGTAAACCAATACTCCCCTAGAGGAGGGATGGCCCTGGACTTGGCTAGCTTGGAGCTGCACTCTTCCTACACTGGCTTGACTCTGGATGATATTTGCATGGGCGCAGATACACACAAATACATATATACATTTTGAGTTAAAAACTTCCTGAGAAACAGATCCTGGCAGACACCTTTTGTGAGGTAAAAATAAATGATTTAGTTTGAGTTAACTATTGTATATTCTGTTGATATGCAAAACAGCAAAACACATGTACGTAGTTCACTCTGTCCCTAGCAGAAGAAATCTAATTTAATTTGACTAGCTCAAACGCACATAGAATACATGCCTTGTATTTCCCTGAAGTCTTCCTATGTGGATGACATGCATCCCACCAATCTGCCCCCTCCATCAGTCTCTGTCCTCAGGCAATCATATATGGAATGCTCTGCAAAATAGCTGAAATTGTGGAGGTATAACGAGGACAAACAGGTGTCTGCCCACACATACACATACAAAACCAAAGACCCATGCTGCTCCCAAACGGGATTTTCATTCTCACGCCATCATCAGGTCAAGAGATAATTGATTTATGGCCGTGTTCTAGCCCCTGTCGTTATTCAACCTGCAGTCTGATTGGCCCTCAGGATTATGTGGTCATAAGCTCCAACCTATAGGAGTATGTCTCCATTTCTCAAGAGGATCCATAACCAGGATACTGTTTATTTTCCCTGCGATGACTTTGTGGTCTGTTTACACTGTTGTATGCTTAGTTAGGCATGAGAATGATTTGTGTCAGCATTTTTGTTTTGAAATGCAGGCCTTTCTTCAGTCTCTTCTGGCCTCTTCAAAAGTAATGGATTTTTGAACCTCTTCTCTGTGGTTTGGTTGTAAAAATAATGGGGTAATGCAAACAGAACTGAGAGTGACCTCCTCTTGATGTCCATATTTTACACGGATGTTTACATTTTTGTCTCAGAGAATAGCAAAGTGTCATGCAAAGGCAGGTGAGAAATGGCATTGGATTTAAAACTGTAGTCTGCCTCTTCGAAAAGTTCACAATGTCAGAATTAGATCCTGTCCTAATCCTCCATTTATCACCACTGCAGAGTAATGATAACCTGGAGCTCTGACCTTTTTTGGCTGTTATTCATGTGAATTATTTTATGTTTGTATCGCCTTTGGTCTCATGAAGTGCATTTAAAACATAATTTTACACTTTTAGGAGGCACAAGGCTGCCCAAGAGTGGCAATAAACAAACATTTACAGCCTAGTACTTATTTCCCTGCTCTTTTAAGTAATTGGCATCATACTATATAATAGCACAGTGGATATTTTTCTGTGTACTGCTTGGGTATGTTGTGGTGTGTTTATATTTGCTGTAGTGTATTTAGCAGTGAGAAGGTAGGTATTTTCTTTTTGTCCCCATTTATTGTACATGTATTTAACCACGATTGTCTTTTTAAAGTCCTAGTCCACAATGAAGTGGACAATATTTCCGTATTAAAAAACAGCAACTATTGTCACTGACCAGTCTTGGTTTATGCTCGACCCTTTGCACAGCTGCCAGGTTCACCACTTTCAAACATACACACTCTCTCTTTCACACGCACAGTGCCGTAGACCTCCCAAACACTGCAGCCTGGACATGATGTCATGGGACTGTATGTTGTCTGAAATGTGTCTTTTAAATCTCTGGGATTTATTTGATAGAAATGTATTTTTTGCTAAATAAGGATGGTTCACTTGAACCACATCTGGCTAAGTACTTGCCTTGACATTTATAGCATCACTGCTTCTTGGAATTAACAGTGCTGTACTGAGTCATTTTATTTGTTGCTACAAACACTCATGTACTTGCCAGTGTAGATAATTATGGACTGAGTGATACTGAAAGCTCCAGGCTTATCGACAAATTATAAACTTAAACTGTAAATTTTAAATATCCTTGTTAGCCATTACCCTTGCTCAGATATTCTAATTTGGCAAACTTTGTTTCATAAAGCAATTCCTTCAGAGGTTTGAAATTTACAAGTGTTGTAATAATGTCTGAACACATAATGCTGCGCAGACGGTATGAAAATGAATTAAACAGTAATTGTCTGCAAAAGCATTGCAACATGCAAAGAGCATTCGGCTAAGTGTGTAGATAGGCTACATGGCCAAAACAGTTGCTGTATTCTATCTTTTCTCACTGCCACAATGTAATGTGTGTGTGTGTGTGTGTGTGTGTGTGTGTGTGGCTTTGTGTATGCATGACTGTGAGCAGCTCTACCACATGTGAGCATGTTTTATTGGTCCAGAGGGAGTTAAGGTTAATGCAATAAAACAACCATCCCCGTGCCCAGCGTCTGCCTTAACAGAGGATTTAAGACCGTAGTTAAGCTCAAGTAGGAGAGAAAGGCCGGAGTGAAGAGTGAAGTGCAAACAGAGCAATGAAGATTAAAAATGTTCGGCTAGTTAGCTATGCTGTTAGGAAGCATCTCTTGGATTCCTGACAACCCCTCTGCTCAAGAATAGCTAGCTGCTATGTGAAAACTTCCATTTAAACTCCATTTATAAGGCACACAAGATGACGGAGCTGTCTCACCCCGGAGGGAAAGTGTATTTTTAGCAGGCTGGCAAGACACATTTTGTGACCGTTAACACATATTTCAGCTGTTTCCAGACTTACTTATCCAAACTCTTCCCAGCATGTGACACACCCCTTCAACCAAGCATTTAAACACAGATGCTTGCCAGCTCCTTCCCAAATTAAGTTTATGTATTTGTTTGTGCATTCCATTGTTTTGGCCCCCTCACAGGCTATCCTAAACACTTTGTGGCAAAGTTTGCACAATATCTTTCATATTTTCGCTATAGGGAGGTCCAGAGAGGAGGATTAGTGTCAGCGTTGATCACTGTGTTGTTTAATAAATTGGTATGGGTATTGTCACATGTTGTTGTACTGTGGATGCGCTAGTTGCCCAAACCTACCAGCAAAGTAAATGACAAAACAATATTTTTAGTCGACATTCTTATAATGACAAACAAACACAATAGGGAATCTGGGAATAGTCTAGGTGTGGTTTACTGTATGTATGAAAACGTCACTAAGAATGAAGAGGCAACGCTCCTTCAATGAAGTTGAACTGAATCATTCTCGCTGCTTCTTACTGTAAGCCTCCTCTTTCTAAATCAGTGATGAATAAGTGGTGCTGCTAAATATTACATATTCCTGTTGGATGCCCTTACTCGCTACAATGACTCATCTCTCTAGACAAAACGGTGGATATGCATCGATCACTAGAGTTTCTCAGTCCTGTGTGCAACAGCCATTACACTCTGTCTCTCTGGCTAATTGAGGACCACTTAATAACACTGGCCAGAGGCTTTTAAGCCAATGAGTTGTCATTGATTTTACCTCTTGGTTTGAAGCACACGCCCCTTAATTTTCATGACCCCACTGTCTCCTCCTCTCCACTGCTGGCTTTAATAGCCCACTGGAGATACTCGCCATCATTGCCAACTGTGCACACGTGCACTCACCTCTATGAGGTAGTGGAATGTTCTACATTTACTGTCAGCCCTCCCGCCAATAACTCACTCATCACACCGTTTTCTTTCATCACATCCCTCACTTCACGCCCACCGTTTTCCCATGTTGTCCGTTACTCTGAACTTCTCTGTTCCATAATTCTTTTCACCTCTTCTCACCCTGCAATCATTCAACTGAAATGTGTGCATTCTCAACCAAACTGATGGCATCACTCTAAAAAAACGTGTTCACTTATAACCTATTTGCGTTTAATATGCTTTCAACTGTGCAGGTGCCAATTGGCGGTTTATGGAAGTCGCCCTGCAGCTCCAACCATGCTGTTATATGTCTTAACAGGTGTGTGTGTGTGTATTTGCTCTGTCTTTCCCACAGGTGGACAAGGTGTGTGGCCTGTCTACTGGGGAACCTACAAGCATGAAGCCTTATACCCAAGAGGTCACAACCTCTACTGTGACCTCATCGTCTCCTCTTCCATCTGTTGCCCCCTCTAAACCTCTACCAGAGCAGTGGCTGGGGCAGTTAGCCCAATTGAGGAGGTAAGACAAAGCAATGAACTGCACTGTGAACTTAGAAGTTTACTACTGCCTTTTGTTAATCATCTTTTTTTCATTTTATTTTAACTGAAACTTTTGCCTGTTAATTAGTTATAGCTCTATATAGTCAGCTCGATGGAAATATAAATTAAGTAAAAATTGGTCAGATCTGTAAGACATAGTCTGAGGGGTTGGCCGATGTCTATTCACAGCTGCTATCACTTCTCTCTTTCTTCATATGGTTAGTTTGACACAACACACACCCAGTCACCCACCCACACACACATAGTAAATGTAGTGCCTGGCACTAAAGTCCATGCCCTCCATCTGGCCTCTGAGGCAGCCATCCCATGCCCACAGCAGCTGGCAGCAATGTGCCAGGAAAGGGGGAGTGTGGGTAAGATTAATCTTGACGGACCAACAATTTCCTGTTTACCCAGACGGCCATAGCACCAACTCTGCACACCAGTCGGCCGCAGCTTAAATAGCATCACAGACAGAAACACACACACACAACAACACACAGCGTTTCCTGCCTGACCTTGTCCCAAACCATGAATCACTACACTGATGCCAGCCTAGCTGACAGGTCTGGCCTGGCACTGCCACCGCCATTCATGGCAACACAATCCAGCTCCCAGCCTGCTGCCAACCCTGACCAGAGCACATGTGAGTGCTGACCACTTCAGAGACGTGGCAGCGGCACACTGCAGTTAAGGGAGAATAGTGTATTGCTTCAAAAAATATGAAATGTGATAGAGTAAAGCAACATTTACATTTCGTTTTAATGGGGAAAAGTATGAATCAAGAAGCTCAGCAGAATTTTCTCTGGTTTTCCTGTAAATATTTAACTGTTTGCTCAGATGTTTGCTTGGGTCTTTGTTTTCTGACTTAACATATACCAGTGTCTGTTTTAATTGTTGGTGCGGTGTGGGGAGAAATGGTTATTGATTTAAATGTGGTGTGGCCAGTCTCTGCATGTGCATGATTAATCACTCTCTTCCAGGGTCAACTGACTGTCTTTTCTCCCTCCTCCCTACGTGTCTTGTCATGTCATCCTTCTGTTTCTTTTTTCTTTCTCTCACCCCCCCCCCTTACATCCCTGCATCCTCCTTGCTTGCAACAATCTCCCCTGGACTCCAACTCCCATCATTCCCAGCTCATTCCCCCTGAAACCCTCCAAGAACAATAAACATAGTCTGAGAACGCTCTCTAGGTAAGCATGAACACAAGCGTCGTATTTCTTTCAATCTCTCACACATTTAATCTAGCAATGACAGCTCATATTGTGACTTATATGGACATTTAATTTACTTTAACCCTTTATCGGGCGAGGAACCATAATATGGTAACTTCCTTTATGACAGTTTTTATACACTTCATGGCATATTTTGGTGGGTTCTTTTATAGGTGATATATTATATACACTTATGTTACGGCTTTCTTTCACAAATACTCAAAGTGGGCTTAATCTTGATTGCTTATGGTTTATGGCTTATTTATAAATTTTTTCATAGTATCATCATGATGTGGCATATTTCTTTTGCAGCAGCTGTCTGCTCAGTCCTTCTTTGGGAAGAGGAGCCCTGCTGTGCCACAGATTGTTGTTGTGCTAGCCCACCTAGACATCATTGACTTTGATTTGCAGCCTAAAACTGAAACTTTTTTTAAAAAAGTAAAAAAATGTCTTCTTATATCCACCAATAACACT